GCAGGTTATGAGACCCAAAGCTAATCTCAGTATGTCTCCCTCCTCTGTATTGCTTTATTCAGTTTTGAACTTTAATTCAAGAGAACATTGATCAAATAGATATAGTATATCTCAAAGTCAGCCTTTCTTTTTAATTTACTTAATTTCTTTTAAAAATACACACACATTTGTAAAAAATTTTATATCAATAACAAAGTGTGGTTTTATCATATTTTTAACTTTTTATAATGGAATGTTTCAAACGTACATAAAAGGAGACCGATTAGTATCCTGAACTCCCATGTACAAATCACCAGCTCCACCATCAACCCATGACTACTCCTGGCCCAGTCACACTCTCATTCACTCCTCACGCTCCTAGAGTATTTTGAAACAATTCCCAGACATTGTATTATTTCATCCATGAGTATTTCAGTAATTAACCTAAATGATAAAGGCAGTTTTCCTGAGAACCATGATACCATCATCATATCTGAAAATTTAACAAAGATTCCTTAATATAATCAATTAACCATTAATTAAATTTCCAGCTATCTCATTAAAATTGCCATAAATGGTTTTATTATTGTTTTGAAAGTACGTTCCTTTGAATCAGGATCCAAATAAGGTCTGCACATTGCAATTCGTTATTATATCTTCTGTTTCCTTTAACCAGTAGATTTCCTCTCCACTTTTTTGTATAGGTGATTAGTTTTTGTGTAGTTTGAGAATAAATCAAGTTGTTTTGTCTTGGAATTCCCCCATTGGCTTGCTGGTTAGACTCTCAGGGAATAGTTTTAACTTGTTTTCTCTATTCTCTGTATTTCCTATAAATTAGTAACTGGATGTACAGGCTCTATGAGATTCAAGTGTTTTTTGGTTTTGGTGTTTGTTTTTTTGGAGGGTGAAGGGGTGGCAGGACTTTTTCCTAGCTGGCATTGTGTTGGGTCATATTTTCAGTGCAGCCTTTAAAAAATATCTTATCCATCTTCTCCTACTTCATCCTTTCCTTTTTTCATCTACACTACCCATCTACAAGTGACTCATATGAACAACCCAGTGCATAGCCCTCCATGTTTTCTCCCTGCTCACTTAAATATCTTTATGCACATGCGCACTGAGATTCCCTGCCTGCTTTGCAAAGTCAGGTCATGGAAAGCCTTCCCAGCCAAGTGGTATAGCTCTAATTTGTTCTATTTAATGGCTTCAAAGTAACATTCCTTGTGCACATCTACCACAGTTTACTCAGCCCTCCCACATTCGGTGGCAATCACTTTGTTCCTGGTTCTTGTTGCCACATCTTGCTCATACATGCATATATATTGGCTTTGTTTTTATAGAACGAACTCCCAGGAGTGCGATTGCTGGATTAAAAAGTAATATGTATTTTTAATGTTAATAGATGTTTCCAGATAGCTTTCCAGAAAGGCTGTAGTGGTTCATATATCCACCAGAAAAGGACCCTTTCTCTCTGACAATCTAAAATAGTCTCAAGGAGAATAGAAATAGTCACAAATGAGAGTCACATGTTGGGAGCCAACAAGGAGCAGGGGTCATTCAAGGAGAGGAAAAGGCTTCCTTAATCAACAATTAATAAGCTAATAGTAAGTGACTCCTCAGTAGAAAAGGCCCTATTTATTCCTCTGTGCATCTCATGAGCCTAACACAGGCTGGCACAGAACAAACAGTTCAGAATATCTTAAAACAGGATCTAACTGCTGAGTGATGTCTTTAATCCTCTCCATTTCATAGATCCCACTGGATAATGGACAGCACTTGCCTGTTATACAATAGGATTTATCTAGCATTGCTCTTAATTTCATTTGGTTCTCCCCATCATCTCAGCTAAGATTCTGGGAAAAGGAAGTTGTTTTAAATAGGATGAAACCAGTAAACCTAGCAAGAGGATCCTTCTTAAGCCATGGATTTAGAAATTTAATGCTCTACATGCATTGGTCACACCAGAAGGAGTAACCACCTCCTTCTCTCTGTAAGAGTCACATTTTTCTTACTAAACCTCCACCCTTACTTCTAGCAGGTCTCCCTCTTGCTAGGAATCCCCAGTGTTTCCGGTCCTTTCTCTCCTCTCACCCATCTTCTCTCTTGCTTCATTTGCCTTTACAGGACAATGCTTGACAGTATAATACTCTTCACTCTACCTTTCAAACAAAGACCTCTTGTTTGAATAAACTAAAATGGTGTGTTCTGCAAATAAGAAGAATCTTTCCTGAAAGAATCTACTAAATGTTCCTAATAAGTCCCTTATTATCGGTATATCTGAGGACCTTACGCTTTAGGGGAACAAAAGATTAGTCCAGCTTCATCTTACAGTTGGGAGAGTCAGGAAGTGGCAAATGAATAAAAAAGCTCCTGGTTTTGACCCAGCCTAGCCATGCGTTTTTGAACAGCATTTACAATTCAGCTACTCTCATATCAAAGGCATTGTTGGTGTAGTAAGGGAACCTTTAGAGTGGAAGTAACAGAGCTGTCTATTGGCAAAGGGGGGAGATAGAAATCACAAAGTACACTTTTTTAACATGATGACATAAATCCAATTCATAGTTATTCATAGAAACTACAGAGAGTGGCCTTGGAGAGAGGATTATATTATTATGCCAGGAAGGAGGAGAGCAACACGCAAACTCCATAAACAGCCTTGCCTCCCTGGACACCCTTACAAGAGTGACACCAGCCACATTCCAGGAGTTGGGTCCACGACAGCCTGTAGTGCTGGGGTAAGTGCTTTTCACCATTCAACTCCCATTTCAGGATTACCTGTGGCTTGGACCAGCACAGAATTTACAAGGAGCCTGATGTACATCACCTGAGACAGCCTCGGATCTGGATATTCTCCTTGTGTTTTCATGTCTGGAAAACAGTAGAGAAGGTATCATTGGGCAGAAATTGGAGGGAAATAAATATATATTTAGAAAAAAAAAGAATTATATATGCTTACTGTTTTGTCTATGGAAATATCTAGCCTTACCCTTACGTAATTATAGCCCAATTATCAACATTGAAATTTACATTTGAATGAAATCTACAGTACAATCTTCTGTTTTAAGAACAGATTTTTTTTTAAATGGAGGCACTGGGGATTAAACCCAGGACTTTGTGCATGCTAAGCATGTGTTCTACCACTGAGCTACATCCCCACCCCCAATCTTCTGTTTTAAAAAGGAACTAGGAAGAAAATAGAATGGCAATTTGGTTCTGGGTTTTTCACATCAACTTTGATGATCAGAAGTTTAATGTAGGGAGAGTACTGAACAAAGAAATACTTTCATAAGTTGCCTTATTGAGGAGTGGAATGAAAGAAAAATTTGTACTGAAGAAGTGAATTTGAATGCAGATATGATAACAGTCCCGCTAAGGCCCTGCTGACAAATGATTCCATTAACTGAACACGTAAATGGGACCATTTGACAAGGGGAGCAAGCGTTCCAACCCTGGTGCCAGGGCTACTGAAGCTGAACTCTTAAATTGTGTCCTCTGGAGTGGAGGATTCCAGACACATGGCAAGAACATTGGTTCTCAACAAGTAAATCAGTCAAAACACGTGTTTTTCAAAACGTCTACCTGGGGAGTTAAGACAGGGCTGCAGGAGACAAGATTACTGAGTCAGCGATACCTACTGGTGTTACAGCCTTTTCTTGGCCCTTTTCAGGTCTCTATGCCATGACCCCCAAGTGCCTGCAGCTCTCTCCACCTCTCAGTGACAGTAACTTGCAGGCAGGACCAGATACTAATCCTGTACACCTTTCTTCCTATGGATGTAAGTCAATGTATTAGCTCTTGAAGAAGCTTTCTATTTAAGCCTTACTCTGCTTTGTGTAATGTCAAGGGGAAGAAATATATTTGGACACTTTGGACACCCTCAGTCTTTACCTGAGAAAATTTTAGTCTCGCTGTCTTATTCTTCTGGAGAAAAAAGATCCCTGTGTAATTTAAAGAGTGATAGCGCATTTGGGCTCCACCTAGACAGATATGTTCACTCATCCACTCACTTCAGCTAAACCGTGTTTTTCAAAGGAGACATATAGCAATAAACTGGTGTATAAGAAGACTGTAGCTAAACAATCAGTGGCATTTGTACCAGCCTGTGTGCCTAAGGGGAGGGTGGTAGGCTGGCACAGGAGGGGAAGGAGGGGAAGGGAATGGAGCAGGCAGGGGGCAGGGGCAGGGGTTGGGGGGGTGGATATTAGCACCTGCAGCTTCAGTACACTCCATTGAGTCCCAGGATATACTAGGTCAATTGTGACCAACTCTAAAACAGATCAGAAATGTGACAATGAGTGTGTATATGTCCATGAATGACTGAAAAATTGTGCTGAACACTGGAATTTGACACAACACTGTAAAATGATTATGAATCAATAAAAAATGTAAAAAATAAATAAATAAATAAATAATAAAACAGATCAGCTCTCTGAAGGGAGGGGCATCCTTTTTGTTTGTTTTGTTTAATGGAGGTGCTGCGAATTGAACACAGGACATCGTGCATGTGCGCTCTGCTGCTAAGCTATTTCCCTTCCCGCTGGGGGCATCCTTTTGTATTCTCAGTGGTCTCAGTTCTAGATACCACTTCAGTAATATCTCCTTGACATACCTTAAAACAAATTAAGACAAAAAGCCCACCCTCCCATTTCATTAAATTGTTTTGATCTCCTTGCTCATCAGTGTTCAGAAAAAACAGTAAAAAGAATCATTAGAGACTGATTTCCTCTACCTACTCTTTTATGAGGAAAGAGTACTAAATCAGCAAAGGCATGTTAACAGGAAGAAAAAAACTAGAGATCACGAACAATAATCAATTCAAAATTAAATCATGAAAACCATGCACCTGGCAGTTTACAAAATGCTTTCATGTTAAATTGTTCCATCACTTAACAGTTAAAGTGTTACTGATCATTTTTAGGTCTCCTCTGAAAGTCACTACATTTTATTTACTAAAGGTTCCAAAGGAAACACATGACCCGCAGCTTCCTGGCTTCCATTATTCATAGAAAACAGATTTAGTCATCACCCTGACATTACCATGAGGGTGACTCACAGGGCAAGGAGGGAACCTGAGGACTCCTCACATATGCAGGAACTTAGAGGCTGACAGAAACCCAGGCACCTCCACCTTAAGAGGCTCTGCGAGGTCAAGGTGACACAACACTTCCTTCAGCTCAGCGGGCAGATCGCAGATCGGGCAGATCATCAGATCACAGTCAGCCCAGGAAGTTCACAACAGCTTGTGTCCCAATTCATCTTAAACAAGGTAACTGATGATGGAGTTTTGTCATTTATTCCTTCATTTCTCATGTCATCTTCAAACTGTCTTGATTTTCCTCATGCTTACAGAATTAATCAAGTTGTCTTCCATGCTGTGGTCAACTGTTGCTATTGAAAAAGCGGTATGTTTGAAGGTTGTGATGGGCACTGAGTTCATCTCACCAGAGAAATGATCCCACTGTCACCTGAGACCTTGCCTTGAACTTCCTCAAGTTTCTCTCTGAATGTTCTTCAGCACCTTTGAGTTACAATTAAATTTACATCTACTTCATCTCTCTGTACCTATTCTACACTATCTGTGAATCTTACAATTAACTGGAAATTGGAGCAGGGAAGGGCTCCAAGAAGACTGGGAATCTTAGTAAAGTGTCAAATTGGAACAGGAGATTTGCTACCAACTGTAGGTCTGTTTGTCTACTTATTGTACCCATGATATCAGATGTCAGTTTAGTCAAATGTATGCATGCACACCAAACTGAGTGAGAAAGGAGCTTTCTGCTTCAGAAGGAAACAGGGAAATTCCTCAGCGCACATTTGATTCCTGGACACGGGGATGACAACAATAAACCTGCTTCAAATGTGTACTCTCCTTTGTAGGATCCAGTGGCTAGGTAGGATTTCACCTGAAACTCCCAACATACAATGAGAAAGGGAGAAAGTCAGTGTAGTGGCTTCAAGGGCAGCCCTTGTTAAAGTCTTTATGATTCAAATGGCAGTGTGTTTTCATCTCTGAAAACACATTTTTAAATTAATATCCAATTTAGGGTTGCACGAATAGTTTTGAAACATCCTGCTACACGTCCCCAGGGTCAGGGTTGTGCTTAATTTCTCTTGATATCCCTTGGCATGTATTAGTGCCCTAACAATATTCTTGGCTAGATGCTGCATAAAATGAAAATTAAATGTTGTATCATCTTTGTTGTACTTCAGAGATTTGAAAAATGTGCTAGTTTTTAGAACCAAGTTCAATATTTAAATGCAAGGAAAAAAATTATCTCACACCTATCAAATGGAGAAAATGGTCTTACAACAAATGTTACTTTCTTAAGGTACTGTCTTTAAAACCTGCTTCTGTTCAAAGATAGCTGAGACTAAAAGAAATACACTAAAGATCTGAACGCACTTTCTGCATCTCTACATAGCATTCTCTCTATATTCTAAGTTTTCTTTGAAGCCTTATAACTGTAAGTTAGAATAATACACAATCTATAATCTCTTCCAGTTAGCAATTTTTATCCAATGACATAAATAAAGTCACCATGGCTTTAACAATAATTCTTAACTTGTCAATACTGTCAGGAAGCATATTGGAAAAAGAAAGAAATCTAGTGGGGATTGGGAATATTATTTAATTTACTTGTTTTTATGGATGTTTTGATGAATTATCATTTAAAAGTTTTGAAAGAAGGCAAAAGAAAATCAGATGCTTTTATCCTTAGAACTAAAAATGTAAAGCATGAATTCATCAGGTCTTCCCTATGAAAGAGCAGGCCCATCTCTGCTAAGAGACTGTCTGAATGAGTCCACAAAGGAGGCACACCCCTCCCCACACATCAGTGTCCCACTATACAAAACACAGGAACTTGGCGTACATTAACCAGGTTTACAGCATTTAAATGTGCAAGAGACATACGTGTCCAGCCACACAGCAGCCAATATTAAGAAAGCTTATGCAAGACAATCTCAAAAAGAAAATATTTTAGAAAGCTATTGCTAAGTGTTCTCTATTTGATGTATTTTGGTAAAAACTTAAGTTCTTGATTCAACTCAGATCACGACTGCAACAAACTGAAAGAAAAAAAAAGATTCTCCAGATCTTTAACAATCAGTGTGACTGACTAGTCTTTGTATTGTTTTTCCAAACAAAGCCCTTTGTGAAGTGATTTGGAAATAAAAGCAAGTCGTATGGAGGAACTATCTAGAAAGAACTCTACATTTCTTATTTTAAAAAATACCTCAAGATGACATCAAAACATTGAGACTTTATTTTCCATTTTGTTTTTTTTTCAACTGTGTCAGTTATTTTTAAAGAGCAGATGAAGATGCATAAGAGAAGTGAAATCAAAGGATCTTATTTTAGATTGTTTTGCTAGGAAAAGAAACCCAAGAAGAGAAAATTAAAAGAAGCAGAAGTGGGCAGGGACAGCAATGGAGCTGCAGTATCTTCCCATAGCTGCAGACAAGCAGTTACTCTTAGACTTTCTGTGTGCAAATGTGAGAGAAAATTAGTTCTCCTTTTTGGTTCCTTTTGAGTCTTAATGACATGATGGTAGAGAAGTTTGATAACATATTTTTCTTTCTTCTGTTGACTGATAACATGTTCATCTCTTTCTAGTTCTGCTTTCTCTTTCTACACAGTTTAGGAGTCCAGAGATGGGAATTTTAGTTTTAGCCACTCTCTGGCAAATGACCTTATGTATGACACCTGCCCTACTTAGCTTACAGAAATATTTTGACAATTTAATGAGATAAATTTTATTTGAACACTTCAAAAAATTTTAAAGTTATCCAAGTTGGAAATGTGACTTTATTATTATTAATATTATTGCTGTTGTTTTAAAAATTATTATTCTTTTGCCCTGATGATTCAGGCTCAAAGACTCAAAGGCTCAAAGACTCAAAGACCAATCCAGTTACCACGAGAACCCTGGCGTTCAAGTGGAAACTTCCTTCTCTTCCTCTCTTTCTTCTTTCCTTTTACATTTATTTACTTAACACCAAGTAGCACTAAGGCATAGGTGGTGTAAAGAAGTGAACGCATAGTCCAGACTCCCAGAGTCGGGTGGGAATCCAGGCGGCAGTAGCAGAGGATTAAAGAATGGACAGTGGAACTGAGTGGCCGGGTATCAGTCCCCCAAACAGCACAATCCTATCTGGAGCCAATTAACACACATTTCTGAATATGCTTTTTCATCAATTAAATGGACATAATTCAACTGTAAGGTTTGAACGAGATACTTATTTATAGATCCTAGCAGAAGGCCTAGATTGTGGTACATATTCAATAGATCATAGCAGTTACTATCATTCCTACCTGACCTGGTCAACGGGGAATCCCAAGGACCATGGGTTCCCAGGAGCAGACTCTGAACTCTAGAGTCAACTGGACACCCATCCAAAGGGCACTCCCAAAGAATCTAGAGGGGTCCAAACTCAAAAGGATCAGCCAGAATTTAGGCCTCATAAACGCTGTGCTACTTTGGTAATTTCTAAACATTTTATTTATCTAGTTTATTTTTGTTTAGGGGGGAGGTAATTAGGTTTATTTATTTACTTGTTTGTTTTAATGGAGGTACTGGGGATTGAACTCAGGACCTTGTACTTTGGTAATTTCTAAATTCACAAAAGACATCATCATAAATTTGGCTTTGTTCACTGCCTCCTAGCCTCCTGATGACAAAAAGGCAATTTAAAAAAATCATCAAAATTAATGCTTACAGCAGCAGGATAGAAGTAATGTTATAAGTAACAAAACTTTTCTGGTAAGGCCATAAAAAATAAGCTCACATCAATGTTGCACTAGTGAGGAACCGATGACTAAGTTTCCACAGAGGTCGTTTTGCTTTCCTATTTTTTTTTTAATTGAAGCATAGTTGATTTACAATGTTGTGTCAGTTTATGGTGTACAGCATAGTGATTCAGCTATATATAAGTATATACACATTCTTTTTCATTACACGTTACTACAAGCTATAAAACTATTGAATATGGTTTCCTGTGCTATACAGTAGGAACTTGTTTATTCTGTACATAGTAGTTTGTATCTGCTAATCCCAAATTCCCCATTTATCCATTTCCACTCTCTTCCCCACCTGGTAACCATAAGTTTGCTTTCTGTGTCTGTGAGTCTCTTTCTGTTCTGTAAGTAAGTTCATATCTACATATAAATGGTGTCACATATTTGTCTTTCTCTGACTGACTTCACTTAGTATAATTTCTAGGCCCATCCAAGTTGCTGCAAATGACATTATTTCATTTCTTTTTATGGCTGAGTAGTATTTCATTGTATATAGATACTACATTTTCTTTATCCAGTCATCTGTTGATAGACACTTAGCTTGCTTCCATGTCTTGGCTATTGTATATAGCACTGCTATGAACACTGGGGTGCATGCAGAGAAGTAGTTTTGGATGCTGGAAAGTTCTGGACTCCCAGACAAGGAGATTCTAGACCAGTGGTTCTCAATAGGTAGTGATTTTGTCCCCCAGGGGACATCTGGCAATGTCTGGCTGTCACAAACAGGGGGGGTGGGGAGAGGACTGGCATCTAGGTGGGAGAAGCCAGGGGTGCTGCTGAACATCCCACAACACACAGGACAGAGCCCACAATAAATAATTATCTGACCCAAAATTGCAAAAGTATTGAGGTTGAGAGATCCATGCTAAGATAGGAACAATACAGAGAGCAGCACCTCACAAAGTGAAAGCAACTGACCCTTCCATAAAGCTAAGGTTCCTCCTGTACAGCACGCCTTTAGTCACCTATTTCACCAGGTACTATTCAAGGTAGAAGTCATTATCTCTATTTTCCAGATAGAAGAACAGAGGCTAAGAAAATATAAGTAATTTTCCAAACGCCTTCTGATGGTAGAGGAACTGAGACTGAGACTTCAACCTGCCTGATTCTGAGGCCTGGGCTCTTAACCCCTGCTCTAATTGTTGGGTGTGTGTGTGTGTGTGTGTGTGTGTGTGTGTGT